CCACTGAAAATTTTAAATTTAAACAAACTTAAAAAGATGACTGAGAAGACTGAACACAAATGCCCCCAAAAAGAAAGTCATATTTTGCAGATTACAGGCAGCAAGTAGGGAAATATGTAGTCGAAAATTGAGCAGCAGAAAGAAAGTTTGGAGTGAGCAAGAAACTTGTGACAACCAGGAGGGTGCACCAGGCAACTTTCCTGGAAGTCATTGGATGGATCGACAAAGCCTGGACTTCAGTGACACCGAAACCATCCTGTCGGGATTCAGAAAGGCCGGAATAATTCTAACTGGAGCTGATGCTGAGTCTGATGACAGCTACACAGAAGAATAAGTGGCGCTCTGTTTACCTCCAGAGGTCGCAGAGTTGCTCAGAAGTGACACAGAGGATGAAGAATTCAATGGATTTAGTGATTTGGAGTGAGATGGAGAGTTTGGTAAACTTGTTCTGTTGTTTATGTTATAGTTTATCTGAAGAACTGTTCATATGTGACATTAACAGTCTGTTGTTCTCTGTTCTATTGTTATTACTATATCTCGCCTTTCAAGATGAAATGTTGGTTCCTGATCTCTGATTTTATCAAATAAATTTCCCCCAAAAACTGCGACTTATAGTCCAAAAAAATACAATAACTTATTTTACCTGAGATAAGTAATAGTCTGGTGCTTCAATAGTTGATTTAGCAAAAATCTGCACTGTTTCTCAGTCCTTTATGTTGTTTTTTCCCCCTTTTTTACATGTGAACCGCCACGTTAGTTTGACGCCAATGTGTCTCTCTGATTGGATAACTTGCCTCTCAATCACCCCCTCTGAAATCAAGGAGAGAGGATACAGCTCCAGATCCACTTATCTTTATAAAGTTTTGTCAAAGCAGCGCATGGTTCTGTCTGGTAACTGTGATGTCACTCTGAAGGGCGAGTGATTTAGCACAGAGAGCAAAGTGAACGGAGACTCGGAGCTTATAAAACATGTTAATACATTGTTTTCAGGGAATATGTAGTTTCAAAGCAATAAAAGGTAACATGGTGATCTAAATGTGTTAGCAGTTAATACCTCATAGAAATATAATACCCCCTCTTTTAAATAAGAGGAGATGCATTGTGTCAGTGAACCCTTTCTCGTTGGTTCCCTGGAGAAAACATGGCTGATCATTGTGACAGGAAGTGAGTTGCCTTCACGACCTATGACCTCTGACCTCTGACCTCTGTCAGTAATATTAAGATGAAGATCTAACAGCTTTTGGATCTGGTTTCCACAAATCTGCTCTCTCTTGTCTATCAGACAAAAGGTACAAAACTCATCTGCACAAGTACAGATGCAATAAGGCTGAACAATACAGGGAAAAATATCCAATTCCAATTTTTCTGACAAGCAATTATAGGATTCTCAAAGTTCACATTTGAAACATGTCCACAAGACATCTTTGTGCAGATCTAAACTACACAGTTAGCAGCTTTTTAAACAGAATAAGACAAGAGACTTTTTTGTTTTATTCTGCATAAAAATTGTCCATAATCATTTGGTTTAGTCCTGGTTTAAACCTGGTTTAGTCCTGTTTCAGACCTGGTTCATTCCTGGTTTAGTCCTGGTTTAGTCCTGGTGTAATCCTGGTTTACTCCTGGTTCAGACCTGGTTCAGTTCTGGTTTAGTGCTAGTTTAGTCCTGGTTTAGACCTGGTTTAGACCTAGTTTAGTCCTGGATTAGCTCTGGTCTTGGCTGGATACTTCGATCTCTTATAAAGCCAACATAAAAATCAAAATAAAAACGTTTTAATTTTAAGGCGCTGTACCTGATTATTAAAAATTTAACAAATGTAGCAAAATAACTAGTTCATTTGAAAGAGTTATTCACCACGATTAAGTGCTTTTCACATAGAGTGGGATTTTGCTGAACACTAATGACAACTAGCATGCTAACAAACACTCCCTGAGAACTGGCGGACTTTCTTTGATCTCAAGAGCTGCACATACAATAGATCTGTACTGAGCCAAAATACAGAAACCAAGAAACCAGATATGAACCCTTGTGCGCTACAGATAGAGTACCACCACCTGCTGTTTAATTCTATATATTTCATCATCTAACGCATTTGTCTGAGTAGAAGAAGGGGGAATAGATCTTAGAATGATGTCTGTGGTTTTAATTAAAACTGGGAAAACTAATGAGCTGCTTTATCCATTTTTAATCTTGTTATGGGGAACTGGGAAATAGAGGAAATGAAAGGAAGGGCATCAGATGTAAGGATGATGCCAGTAAACATGAAAGTTGTTTATTGAGTTTTTTGCTATTTGAAATCACAATATCGATGGAAAATGACTTAATAAATGAGACAAGTCAGCTACTACGGTTAAGAGCAGTGGATTTTAAAATTTGAGCTACAATGTCTACACAACCCTGCCAAATCCTACGTGTATCACAGATTGAGAAAAGAATGGAAGAAAGTAGTCCAGTACATCACCAGAGCAGTGGGGATTTTGTGCAGAAAAATGTGTTTGGATTTCTTAGGTACTGACTTTGTACTGACATTGCTCTAGGGAGTTCTGCATGTACAATATGTCTATGGGGGAATGTTCAGCAGTTACCATGGTGGACACACAATACACAGTTGGCAAATACAGCCTGATGAGTTTTAAATTAAAGGGACAGTTCAGAATTTTGGACATAGGACCTTATTTCCTAGTGAGCCAGAGTGTTGGAGTCATGTGGAGACACTTTTTTAAATATTCCATCCAGTCCTTGTATTTGCAGAGGTCACTGGTGCTAGGCTAGTGCATGTTAATGGCCATAGTTAGTCTGCAACAAAAACAAAAACAGTCTTACCCACTCCACAAAACACCCAAGGCAAAACAATTATAATGCCAGATTGAATGTCTGTGTTGATAGAATAATTTTAGAAGTAAAACCAAACTTGCATTTGAAGGATTTATATTTATTTAACAGCAGCGAGTTGTACTTCCTAATAGCGTGAAATCTTTGCAGTGGTGTACTGATCTATGAGAAAATAGTCCCTCAACATGAGACGATTCATGCAATGCGAGATTAGTTTTTGTTCAAACATTAGCCTATAGACACAGACATTTACATCGACAGTCTGGCGTAATAACAGATTTCCTTCGGGTGTTTTGTGAAGTGGGTAAAACTGTTTTTAGTGGCAGGATAACTATGGCCATTGATATACACTAGCCTAGCACCAGCGACCTCTGCAAATACAAGGACTAGATGGAATATTTAAAAAAGTGTCTCCACACGTCTCCAACACTCTGGCTCACTAGGAAATGAGGCCCTATGTCCAAAATTCTGAACTGTCCCTTTAATCTGAAAACTCAAGAAAAAATACAAAATGCATTTTCAGAAACCTGTGATAAAACAGAGCTTTTCTGGTTTCTATTTAGGTGTTTGATTTTCAACAAAGAAGTGAGAGTAACTAACTTTATTTATTTTATTTAATGAGACAGGGACAGCACACAATTTACACAATAACCTTAAAAGGAGAGATGCATTGTACCAGTATCAAGGCTAATTTCCAGCTGTAGTCCCTGGGCAGGTTCATTGATTCATTGTATTTAACTGACCTTAGCTTTCAACTGTCTTGGAGACCTATGTAGCATGTTTTGGGTTGGGTTGTTTCAACTAAAAAACTGTTGGCTAATGCTAGCTAGTTTGTGACTGTAATTTTATTTGTCAGGGATTGTTTACAGCACAGATCATCTCACCGATTGTAGTTCTAACTAAATTACTTCCAGTTCCATGTAAATGTCTCTCACCTCCATTGTCTCCAGCCTCTGAATAACGTCATTAGGGGAATTCAGAAAATCTCAATGGCCCTCCCTTCCAGTATTCTCTTGGTTCTCTAATGGGGCTTTAGTTGTGTCACTTCACCTTAAGATTGTCAAATGTATCAAAAATCTGATATGACACTGAAACTAGATACTCATAAAAAGTCACATTCACAGGACAGAAACGAACCTTTCCTGAGTATCTTTAGAATGATCTTGAGCTGTATCAGAACAAGTATAAGAGCACATAGACTAGGATGCACCCATAGACCACTATGGAACCTATCCTGACCACTGAGGGACTACATAGATATAAATATAAAAGAAAGTAGAATGATTTATTTGTTGATATCTATAGTATCATATCTATAGTACCATACCATAGTAGTGTCAGAGTCAATATTGAGTTGCAAATCTACTCTTTAAATGTTCTCTATTAACTTTTTGGAAAGGGCCACCTGCTTGTCTCTATGGATATGTCATTGCTTGGTCTGGAATGTTCCACAGTATGACATTAAACAGCTCTTTCTTATATTTATTCAATTACAGGTGGTTTTATAGCTCAAAAATATCTAGAAAAACAGGCATTCTGACTGTGAGTAGGGATGCCTCTCCACAGACCTAACCTGTAACTTAGTCTGGTTTGGTTTCCATGAAGATTGAAAAGTGTATACCATACTGTGGAACATTCCAGACAAAGCAATAACATGTCCATGAAGAAAAGTATTTAACAGACCCTCCACCAGTTACACAATGCACCTTTACTATGGAAATTTCGGATGTAACAGTAACTGAAATTTTGTGATATTGTATCATCAAAAGTCTCACAATAATATCGTGGGCTATCACAAAATATTGAATTACAAGTTCCTTTGCTTAAATGCATAGTTTTATAGTAGCAACAGCTTATGAACATCGGAAACTACATATCCCATGATTCATTTCAGCGCAGACAACATGAAGAAATATGTTTTTTATTTGACTTCTTGGGATTACCATGCTAATAATTAACATCAAAATCTTGTCAAGGTATTTTAAAAGCAAAAAAGTGTCCTATCTACAATTATATTAGCCTCTTCAAAATATTGCAATAAATATTGTACCACGAGATACATATGGTGATAATATCATACTGTGAGATTTGGATATCGTTACATTCCTAATGGAAATGGAGTTTGAAGTATTAGTATGCTGACTGTAGTACTCTGCCTGGGTTCTCTTACCTGTGTTTTGGTGTTGGATGGGCTTGGGAGGCTCTTGCAGTCTGGACAGCAGCAGCAGAGACCCAACTCCTAACAGCAGCACCCAAATCCAACAGTAGAGGCCAAACGCAGCCTTCATCACACAGCGCCGCAGCACACAGTGACCACAGGGGGCACTACAGTCCACCAGGGCCATCTCCGGCACCATCACCTCATCACCTAAGACTTCAATAAAGCTCTTCCTACCTGCAGAGATGAGACAGGAGAAACGTTTACTAGTAGAGACATGCACATCCAACAAAAATTGTGACTGTGTGTTGGGTCCAAAGACAAAAACTCCCACAAGAAGCTCTCAAATTCTCTTTTGAATGACACCACAATGCGACGTCTCAGGTCAAGCCCTTCTTCAGACATACTCTTTTGCACAGGACAAACGTTTAACATTCAAAGGAGATGTATTCAGTAGAAGCAACTTTTATTAACTGAGCCAGAGGTGAGTAGAGCAGTCAAATTACTTCAAAATACTTAATTACTCCAGTACAAACCACTGTCTCAGCCCATGTTCCCACACAATAATACTCCATAAATATAGAAAAGCACAATACAAAACTGTACACTGCAACTTCGCAAACCTAAAGTGATGAGCAGTAGTTTAATTTGTGGGATCGACCCTGATTTTGCTATGATAGCGCTGTGAAGGGGGAGTGACTTAGTGCAGGGAGCAAATATGTTACATGCTAGCAGTTAGGACACACAACGAATCTCTTTATCTTCTCATCTTCCTCCTCGTCTTCCTCCTGTCTCAGACATTATTTGTGGCTCCAGATGGCTTGTCTTTGATAAATTATTTTAATTAAGAGCTGCATCAGTCACAGAATGTCATCCAGGAAATGACACCAGGAGCTTATTGTCAAACAAACAAAAAATATCATCAGGTTAAAGTTAAGTTTAGTTGTTTTTTTTTATTCTCCTCTGCATTTGACCCATCCTTCAGTGTCTCTGGGTTAAAGCTGTCTGGAGTAGGTTTGTCAAAAGTATCAAAAATCAGATACTAATCAATACTAAAATCATTATAGAAACTAGATACTCATTTGACCAAGTACTGATAAAAGAAAATCATTAACAGGAGAAGATGTGACCTTTGAGTTAAGAGTACTGCATTCTATTGTCTATTGTCCATTGTGTACTTTTGTACTTTTGTATTGCTGTATTTCAGGAGACATCACAGCATTTTATGGGACAATATTATTTAGCACAGATGGGGGCAGCTACAATAAATACTGTTAAAATGCAGATTTTAGTTGTAATACAGTGAGGTCAGTGAGGTCTAAATTAGATTTGCAGTTTGAGAGATTGATCCCATTTCATTCATTCAGATTATAGCCAATAGAAATATAAAACACATAATAAATAAATATTAATTAATTAATTAATTAATATATAATATATATATATATATATATATATATATATATATATATATATATATATATATATATATATATATATATATATATATATATATATATATATATATATATATATATATATATATATACATATATATAAAGAAGCAGGTTGAAACAAGGTCTAGACCAGGTCTAAGCAAGATCTAAATTAGGTCTAAAGCAGGAACCAGGTTTAAATCATTTCTAAAGCAGGTCTAAACCAGAACTCACAGTGTAGATTGTCACAGTTGTTTTGGTCAGTACTGAATCATCACTTGCTTTTATTCACAGGTGTAGACAGAAATAAACACCTTCAAGCTACTAAACTCTTCCTCCCCTCTTACTCCTCTCCTCTCCTCTCCTCTTCTCCTCCCACTTAACTCTTCACTCCTCCCTTACTCTTCACCCCTCTTTCTTTCTTTTTTTCTTTCTTTCCCCCTCTCCCACAGGGATTGAACCAGGAACCTTCTTGCTGTGAAGCATGAGTGCTAGCCACTCAGCCACCATGCTGCCCCTCTTCTTCTCCTCCTCCTCTCCTCACTCTCTCTAACTCCACTCGACTGAACCAGGTCTGTACAAAGTGCTGCGCTGCTTGTCCAATCAGAACTCATTTATAACAAAACGCTCTGGATTCATTCATTCTTTAGTCCTGGTTTAGTTCTTGCATAATTTTGGTTTATTCCTGTTTTGAAACTGTCCTGGTTCAGTCCTGGTTTGGACCTGGTTTAGTCTTGATTTTGTCCTTGTTTAAAGTGGGCTTATTTAGTCTTTAGTCTTGGTTTAGTTCTGGCTTAGTCTTGGTTTGATTCTTGTTTAGTCCTGGTTTTGCAGTTGTTCTTCAGTACTGGTTTAGTCCTGGTTCAGACTTTGCTCAGTCCTTTTTGCTTTGTCCTGGTTCAGTCCCAGTCTGGTCTTTGCTTAGTTCTGGTTTAAATTAAAGATGGGCTAATATGTTTTTTTTTCCATGACTGATTACAATTAGCCTGATTCATCAGCTGGTTTCACTTCGTGGAAACCATCTGACCTCGCAGCATTAGGATTCATTCACTTGACAGTAAGCAGGTACTTTCTTTATTTAACCAATCACTGCAATTTGGTTGTGACATATTGTAACGGGGCTAACTGGGATATTAAGCTTTTTCCCAAATCCCATAGGAAGAAGGGTAATAACGTCTTTCCCCTTGATAAATTTCACCAAACATTCTCTTTGTTCTGGCTTTAAATCCTCGATCTCGGGAATCGTTGACAACACAGAATGTATGGCTCTTCGCTGACTGGCTTGTGCCCGAACTTGCACTTCCAGGGTTTTTGCAAACTGTTTTGTGTATTCCGATTCCTGACCTAGTCGCTGGAGAGAAATTAAATTGAGCAGAGGCACTAGGTGGCTCCAGCCTGGGTAGATGCCAACACCAGTAATACAAACAAACCAATGGCAGATGAGCTCCCCAAATAACATAAAGTTACTACAAACCCAAGCCTTTTTGTTTTTAACCACAAATCTATAAAAAACCGTGTAGACACATTTTGTGCAGCTTCATATCTCTTCATATTAAAGGAAAAACACCCTATTCCACCTTGTGATGTCATGCAGTAATACAGGAAGTGCTCCACTGTGTTTTTAAACTCATACACCTTCACTAGAATCACTGGATGATTTCAACCCTGCAATTGTCAGTATGTACAGAACTAAAGGTAAAAGGTAGCTGCTAACTTGAAAACTACCACTACATGACATCATGAGGTGGAACAGAGCATTTGAGTTTTGGAGATGTTGACGGACTCATAATAAAGTGTTACTCGAAGTGTTAAAATTAAGATTTGTGTGTATTTTTTAGTCAGCAGATCAGCTAAAAATATGAAATATATCATTCTGATCCGATATATCAGTCTATCACTAGTTTCGATCTGTAATCCTCGGTTAACTCCTTGTTTATGTATGTTATATGTGTATTTTTATCCTGGTGTGTGTCATATTAATCAAGTTAGTCCAGAGTCTGTTTGTGAAGCCAGTATTTTCATGTGCTTATCTCCCCTTATTTTTTATTTATTTATTTTTTTTTACCTCTGATGTTATTAAATGGTCATAATATTATTCTTTCACCCTATCCTGGTTTAATCTGATCTAATCCTGTCAGGGGGGTTGAATTTTGACCTCTAGGTTGCTGTTAGCATTAATGTCGTGGCAAAACTCAAAGCCACTGGAGCTAGTTTTCGAATCATGAACAGCAGAACTATATTAGGGGTCACGAGGACTTCTAAACACTAAAAATAAAACTGCTCACACAAAGCTTCGTATTTAGACAAAAACTGGGCCATTTGCTTCAGGGCTGGACATGTTGTGAAGAACTCGAGAATTAACAGATCTCTGGCAATTTTTTTGTTTTGTTTTTTTGTTTTGTTTTTGTTTTTATTCCAAATATAGACCAAAATAATAAGGTGCAAAAGTGACTAGTCCTGGTTCAGCCTTTGTTAAGCCCTGGTTTAGCCCTGGTTTGGTTTAGTCTTGGTCTAATTTAGCCCTGGATTAGCCCTGGTTTAGTTTAGTCCTGGTTTAGCCCTGGTTTAGTAGTCTTGGTCTAATTTAGCCCTGGATTAGCCCTGGTTTACTTTAGTCCTGGTTTAGCCCTGGTTTAGTTTAGTCTTGGTTTAGATCTGGTTTAGTTTAGTCCTGGTTTAGACCTGGTTTAGTTTTAGACCTGGTTTAGTTTAGTCTTGATTTATATCTGGTTTAGACCTGGTTTAGCCCTGGTTTAGCCCTGGTTTAGTTTAGTCCTGGTTTTGCCCTGGTTTAGTTTAGTCCTGGTTTAGCTCTGGTTTAGTTTAGTCCTGGTTTAGCCCTGGCTTTGTTTGAGACCTGGTTTAGTCTTGGCTTAGCCCTGGTTTAGTTTAGTCCTGGTTGAGACCTGGTTTAGTTTAGTCCTGGTTGAGACCTGGTTCAGTTTTTCCTGCTTTTTAATTGTGGTTCAGTCCTCGTTCTTCCCTGCTTTAGTCCAGGTCTAGTCCAGATTTAGTTCAGGCTTAATCCGGATCTAGTCCGTATCTAGTCCAGGTCTAGTCCTGGTTTCTTCCGGGTCTAGTCTTGGTTTAATCTAGGTCTGGTCCAGGTTTAGTCCTGGTTCAGTTGAGTGGGGTCACTGGAATGATTCATCCACAGTCTGCGGTCTGGATTAGTTTGGTTCTAACCCTGTGATATTTTATCACAAGCTATGTTTTTTTCTTGAGACAATCTTAAAACTTTTTTTTTTTTTTTTTGTAGTGTGTCACCATGGTAACTGCTAAACGTTCCACATTAGAGATACATGTAGAACACCCCTAGTGCGATGCCACTGCAAAGTATCAATATTAGAAATGGATTTAATCTGGGATTTTATAAAAGCATTAAACATAAAACAACATTCAGTACATCCTCAGTTCAATCATTTTTACACCCGTCTGGACGTTATAATCTCTGTTCAGTCTGACATTTTAATCACACCCACTTCCTGTTTATCCTACAGATTTCCTATCCATGTTTGTGTCATTTTGATTTGATAAAGTTGCAAACCTTTTGACCTCTGTGTTTAACATTCACAGATATACAGATTTAGTCCTGGTTCAGTCCTGATTGAATCCTGGTTTATTCCTGATTGAATCCTGGTTTATTCCTGGTTTAGTCTTGGTTTAAACCAGATTTAGTTCAGCATGAGTTTTGTCCAGTTTTAGTCCAGGTCTAGTCCAGGTTTAGTCCATGTCGGATTACAATCTCATCAGTGAATGCAGATTATGGGTCTTTATCATGAGGAGCAGTGGGATTATCAG